GCCACTGCAGAGCCCGCATTAAAATTCACTTGTAAAAAAACCCTGATTGGTTTAAACTTCATCTAACCCTCATTTAATACATATTGAAATAATTAGGGTTAGAAAAGGTATGTGCTTCAAGCTGTGTGCCGCGCAAATAAGCGAACAAGTGATTTTAGGTTTCACACCGATGCCCAGCAAAGCATATATTCTACAGAATTTTTGCATTATTGACAGCATGAAGCTATGTAATCAAGGATTTCCTTTTTATACAATAATTTTATCAAGAGGCCCCCAAAATTTTGCCAGGGGGACCCCATAATTTTGCCAGGGGGGGCCCATAATTTTGCCAGGGGGGGCCGGGGCCCCGGCCCCAGCCCTGGCTACGCCTCTGCTCCAGACCTCCTATTTTCCTCACAAATCACTTACGTGCTGGCGTAATGGAAAAGAAAGTAAAATTGGGGCGAGCGAAGCAAAGAGATTAGAGTGGGTGAACCTAATATTCATAACAATCTTAAATTTGCATTTGAGGCAGCTACCGGGGGTAATTGTTAGGTTAATGTTACTGGCGCGTTTGTTGGTTTGTGTGCAATAAAACATAAAGTTATTAATTAGTTAATACGAACTGTATGATTTCTTTCTAATTCATTTGGAAGAGAAGAAATGGCTATATTTTTCATTTTTACTTCCGAGTAATTGAAATGAAGTGAGTTCACACCATATCGAATATCATGTCGAATGTCATGTTGAATCTCATGCGTACTTCACAGTGGTTGTCTGACCATCACTCTGAGCATTTTCCTCGTTTAATAACAATCGCGACGCTTCGTCAAGATTACTAGCACAATTTTTCAAAAGTTCCCTATAGCTGTGTTCCCACTAATATTTCCACGAGAGGATGTCATAATTTAGGATTTGCGAAATATTTAGATTTTAAATTCAGCGATGTATAAAAACATGTGCATGTACTATAAAAATTTCAAGTTCCTTGCCCACGTGCTCTAGCAGCCCGTAAGCTCGCAAAGGATCATAATTAAAGTTATATGAAAAATCGTGTGTTATCCGAAATTTATAGCGTTATATGAAAAGTCGTGTGTTATCCGAAATTTATAGCGTTATATGAAAAGTCGTGTGTTATCCGAAATTTATAGCGTTATATGAAAAGTCGTATGTTATCCGAAATTTATAGCGTTATATGAAAAGTCGTGTGTTATCCGAAATTTATAGCGTTATATGAAAAGTCGTGTGTTATCCGAAATTTATAGCGTTATATGAAAAGTCGTATGTTATCCGAAATTTATAGCGTTATATTAAAAGTCGTGTGTTATCCGAAATTTATAGCGTTATATGAAAAGTCGTGTGTTATCCGAAATTTATAGCGTTATATGAAAAGTCGTATGTTATCCGAAATTTATAGCGTTATATGAAAACTTGTGTGTTATCCGAAATTTATACCGTTATATGAAAAGTCGTGTTATCCGAAATTTATAGCGTTATATGAAAAGTCGTGTGCTATCCAAAATTTACAGCGTTATATGAACAATTGTGTGTTATCCAAAATTTATATTGTTATATGAAAATGAAAATCTTATCTTAAAATAGAATAACATTTTTGACATCGATGACGCGCCATAACATATTCGCGAATTTGTTTTAAATATGTTGTCTGCGCACAGACTGTCCCTTCTCCCCAGTCAGCCCAGTGTGACCAGGATTACCACGCTACCATATTTTTCCAAAAAATGTTGGCGGGGGGGGGGGAGGGGGCAAAAAACTTTTCCGGACACCACCAGTTAAATTAAGATTCAAAAAAATTTTTACGGATAAATTTCCTGTTAAAACATGGCCAAAACCCGTAAAACATGGCCAAAAAATGTAATATTTGGGTCTGCAAATTTTATTTCTGGAAAAAGTACCAAAAATAGCTGACTTAATTGACTTTTTTAGCAATTTTCAGATTAATAACCACAATTCAAAAAATTACCGTAGTAATTACCACAAATTTCAATTACCACAATCGTCCAAAAATGACGAAAAATTACCACGGTAGTAATGAAATTACCACATCTGGTCACACTGGTTCTCCCCCAGTTTAGCCTGCGTTGCAGGCGATTTTTAGGGAGACGAAAAACCGCCTGCCACGCAAGCTACCCCGGTTCGATTCTCCGCGTATAAATAGATATAATAGTGAGTTTAAGATACCCCGGTTTCGGTTTACGGGTAGCATGATTTTGGTTAGCAATATTTTCAGCGATGTCTGTACTTTTCTCGTAATTAAGGTGCACAATTTTCGCATTATATCATTGTCTATTGCAAGAAAACAGAAAAAGTTTGATCGAATTACAGACATCAGTAAAAACTAGTAAACACGATGACACTATACTCTATGACACTATACGTTTAGTGGGCTGCCTATGGTTAAACGCGGTTTTCCCAATTACCTTGAGGTCGCAATTTCCCAATTTGGGTCAGCCAAAAAATAGTTATGGAAATTCAATGTTGTTAATACGCCATTAAAAAGATATTTATACCTACATTTTCTCAAAATTACTCCCAAAATGAGGCAAATACCATTTCAAAGATACAAAAATTTTAAAAATCGAGAGGAGGCAACCGCATGCCCCCAGACCCACACTGATAGAAATGCCCAGCTTCAGGCTAAAATAATTTCACAATTTCAGGTGAACGCGGATTTTTTTTTACTTCTGGCTAAGCCCAGTCTGTGGTATTAAAAGAGGTCCCGAGGGAAGAGCATGGGAACGTCTAATGACCTTGTTCACATAATATAAATTCTATGAAAAGTAACACATTGGATAATAAAATTAGAAAGCCACTAATTGCTATAAAAAGGTCATAAAGTTTAGAATTTAGATTAGGGTTGGGGTTTGGATTAGGGTGTGCAATTGTAAACCCATTATATTTTGTGCTCAGAGGTTTGCAGGTTCAGGTTTCGAGATTGAACTTTAGTGGCTTTCTAATTTTGTTATCCAATGGCAATGCGTTATTTTACATAGAATGTGTGTTATGTAAACAAGGTTATTAGACAATAGACAAGGTCAAGCAAAACAATACAACGAAATCGAAACATATTAAAACTTGCAAAAATTAAAATATGCAGGATTTGCAAATTCTACCAAATTTATTCATCCCAAAAAAATAATTGCTCTTTTTATGTCTTCTCAACAATGTCTGCCCAACAGCACCTAGAAACCTTTTGTAATCGTTACTCAACCGGTATACTCGTCTCGGAATTAGTTAATTAAGCGAATTTATGCAAGTATAATTTTGAAACGAACCAATGAAAAATTGCCGATCATATTTCGCCGGTAGCTCTACGGCATTAACGTCGAATGAAGACCAATGAAAGCAGACTGTTTTCCCGGGAACCAGGGGGAGTGGGATGCAATCTGTGAGCAGACTATTTTAAAATCTGCATGCCAAGAACCAGTGGCGCCGCTAGGATTTTATTGGAGGGGGGGGGGGAGACTTACCAATTTGTGACTTACCATTCTAGGGGGGGGGGGTCTGGAGGCTTGTTCCCCCAGGAAAAAATTGAATTTTGGGTTTCAAAAACGGAATTCCCTTATGTTAAGAAGAAGAGGATTTTACGTGAATTTGACGTTGAAGGTTTTAATTAAATTATGACAGATTTGCATAGATTGCATAATGACGCTTGGGTGGGGAGCCAGCAGGCAAGTCAAACTCGATCGATTACGCGGATATGTTTTCCCAGAAAATTTTGACAGCTAGAATGTTCCTGTGTTCTGGGGAAGATTTGACTTGCAAAATTCTCATCAGTTAAAAAATAACCACCACAAAAAATCTGTTTCAAACCAATTAGTAACGGGGAATCATGAATATTCAATGGTGAAACAGCATTTTCATTACCCTGGATTCCAGAGCCTTCGAAGTAAATAATAAATTGAAATGTCGCGAAGGCTCTGGTTCAACGGGGCGATTCTTTGATTGAACCGCGCCAATCACAAAACAGAATTAGTGGTTTTAGTACAGATTCTGTACTAAAACCACTAATTCTGTTTTGTGATTGGCGCGGTTCAATCAAAGAATCGCCCCGTTGAACCAGAGCCTTCGCGACATTTCAATTTATTATTTTCTTCGAAGGCTCTGGAATCCAGGGTACATTTTCATATGACGAATACACAATCCCATTGACTTCTGTGTATTATTTAATCTGATGCAGCATAGTCACATAGTGCCAGTCAGTTTAAACATTGTACAAGTAGCCGAAAACGTTTTTCGTTTTAGGCCGAATAACCATAACTTATTCGTATGGGCTGTGGTATGGGATGTGTGACGATTGTTATCCAAACATATTTTTTTATATTTTAGCCATATTTCACTGATAAAACTTGCATTCCTATTTATTCGGTTGCAAACACAGAAACAAGACCTATCACCGGCGTATTCGTATTTTTATAATTCGGCGTATTTTGATAACCTGCCTTGCGACGAGGTACACATGTGATATACACGAATCTTTCTTGCCAAAGTAACCTTAGTAACGTACTTTCAGGAAGGATTTATAATTGCCTCCAGTCTTGCCATCCGGCTCCCAGGCTCAAAACTTTCCTTCTAGTCATAGTTAGTTCACATTATATTGGGCAGCTCAGTGTTGCCTAGACTGAATTAAATACTATCATGCAATTAATTGCATACAATAATCAAGATGATCAAGCGCATAATTAAGATGCGCGGTAACTGTAGTTTTTATTACAGTATTAGCCACAATATATTTAACATGTTCAAACAGTAAAAAAACAAAATTAAATTGAAACAACAAAAAGAAAATTCATAACTTATGTCTTTTTAATTCCAATCTAGGAATGGAAAAATTAGGATTAAAAGAAGATGGGCTGCGTATTTTTGATGCGGAAGATGGAACAGAAATTGATGAAGACGAATGTCTTTTGGAATGTGATAAAGGAACTACTTTTCTTATTTCAAAAGAATGGAAATTTAATCCTGAAACACAAATTGTCGACAATGTTGATGAAATCATAGAAGTTTCTACTCCAACGTCTCTAATTACAGAAAGCCAGGATCAAAACAAAAATAGCGAAGAGAGGAATGTCGAAGCTGGAGCTACAATGCAAACGAATGTTTTTAACGGAGTAAAAAAAGATGAACATGCAGAAGAAAAGAAAGAAAAAGTTCCAGGTCATTACTGTCATGCTTGTTAATGTCCCATGGCCTCTTTATCTGTAGACAGGGGTGGATTTAGGGTCTGGTCAACAGGGGTGCATGGGGGGGGGGGTGCAAAAATGACATTTATCCTAATTCTAACCAACTTATGTTAAGGAATTCAGTTGCGTATCACCAGTTGACAATAGCGGAATAGCCAATATTAAATATTCTGAATTTTTAAATGTTTTGAGAATCTAAAAATTTTTCAGAATGCTGGAAATGCCAAATTTTAAAGATTTTCTGGAGAGTACGCCCCCGGACCACCCTAGAAATCTCGCGCCTTCGGCGCTCGTTTCGCCATTGGTTAGCACCCCCCAAAAAAACTTTGCTGGATCCACCACCGTCTGTAGACCTACCTGATTATGTAATAGGATTTACTCAT